TTATAACTGTCTTAAAATATTCAAATGAAAAAAATCAGACACCCAGGCACCACTGTGAGTCAACGTTATCTGTAGGAAAAAATGGTACCATTACTGTCAGAATCAGGACGCTCTAGCTATTTATCTATCTATTTATCTATCTATCTATCTTTCTGTCTATCTAGCATGTCATACACACACAGGAACAGGAGAGAAAAGGTTTTTACGGCCGATAAATTCATCAGTTATTTAGTAATTAACACAAAACAGGCAGCCGTGATAAACCAGTAGACTAAATGCGTTCCGGTGTGACAGGCTGAAAGGCGCTTATCTTAATATCATAATGTTTAAAATCCACAGCAATTATTCTTCACAGAGGCGTGAAATTGATTCCAAACATTTTCTTTTTCTCCTCCTCACACTGTTTGATCTCTGCTCCCCCGAGACGACCTTTGATGAAATTCAATTTTGAGCAATGACACTTTATGCAGCTTTTACATATCTCACCTAAAAGATATCAAACTTTCATCTTTGATAAATTGTTCTGTGTAGCTTGGATTAAGATATGTTTTTACTGGTATCAGAAAGGAGGCGCTCTAACTGAAATAAGCAAGATATGATAGATTGCTTAATTAAGAGTGAGACCTTTATTGACCATGAATATATTGTGTTTTAAATGCTAAAATATTTTGTCTTGAATGAGCCTCTATCAGCTTTTTTTTTTGTCGTTAAAATTTTTATTATACTTTTGACTTTCATTAAAACAGCTCTGACAATCAGGCAGTGATGGAGACAAAGATTCATTTAGTCAGACGGTTGTGACAGCAGGTGTATACAGATGACAGACCTGCGCTGACTGAAGCACTGACAGCCTCACAATTTCCCAGCACCACCTGGTGGAAACTGCTTGTCAACATGAAGCCTCAAACTACAAAATAAAGTGGAATCAGCTCTGCAGTGATGTACTTTATCTTATCTCCTCTGCAGTTGTACTTGGTTAAAGACATTTTCAAGAAATGAATTTTGGCATGAATGAAGGAAGTGAGAAAAATGTGAGACTTGATTAGCATTTATTCTAGAGTAGGACTAAAAGAGATTAAAAGACTGTTAAGAGAACATAATATTATATACACATACAAATATATACATACTGTATATATGTAGAGAGGGAGAGACAAACTAAATGTAAATGTAAATGACCTCCAACAGCTCATCAGCCATCACTCAACACTCGTGTCTATCCAGTCGCTGCAGGATCACTCGGTCACTTGAGGATATTTGCACTTATGTTTGTGTGCAAGCAATAAGAAATATAATGACTAGAAAATTTCACACTGTGGTTTAAAAACATTATGATTTTATCCCTGAGAAAAACCATCATAAACTGAAGGACTCGCACTACAAAGTGATATTAGCCGCCCATGATTTATTTTTTATGTTGAATTTAAGCAACTAAGAACCTTTGAGGACATCAAAACCATCAGTGTAAAACTCATTGAAGCACGGTTGACAATCCAGACTTTGTGTTGCTCCATACAGTTTTAATTCCAGTACAACAGAAGAACGACACACAAGTCCAAACTTTACAGGACAACAGCTACAATTAAGAACATACTTCCATGAGGTTTTCTTGAGTGCATGTTGTGTTCAGGTTGTCATTACTGGGCCCGACTGTGTGTTAAACTGTCAGTAGCAGCAGCAGCAGTAGTGTTTGTCTCCTTGAGGCAACTGCTGTGTGCTGGAGCTGCTGAAAAGTTCAGTTTTTGAAAAGCAGACCTGCAGTCCTTGAAGCCCATGGCTGCAGCTCATTTCTAAAATATGACATTTCAGCTTTGGAGGAGAAAATAGTAATTTGACATTCAGTAATTCTTAAATAAAGACACTGTAAAAAAAAAAAAAAAAAGCATCATTCATCAACCAAGCTGAATTTATGGCTCCATTTTTGTCATAATCAGCTGGTAAACTTCTGCTGATTCAGTCAGAGCAAGGACTTCAACTGTACTTGTTCACTTTGTATCTGCTACACTGAACTGTGACATTAATCGTTCTGCTCATACAGCACTGTACATACCACCAACTCCTCTAGTGATAGTAATATGGGGAATGGTTTACAAACAAATGGTTTACACAGCCCATTACAGGGATTCACCTCCCATCTAGGTGCAGCAGTGGCATGAGATGATTTGTACATCACATGACTTATCACAGATAATCAAGCAGAGCCAACCCCCCACCCCCCACCCCAACAGCGATTCTGCTGTTTACTACACGTCAATATTACGGACCACACAAAAACATACCTTTTCATGACAGCAGCAGTGGCATATCTCTCTTAAATTCAGGGCCATTCCTGTCTCATGATTTTGTGCTGCCTGTCTTTCCTGTGCTCAAAGTCCCTCTGTATCTTGCTGGTCTCTGCCTGGACGACCTTCCTGAGTGAAGAAGATTTGTGCAGTATGGAGGAAAAACGTCACTTCTATAGTAATCTCCAACATATTTACCATTAACTGACATAATACAACAGTCCGAAATCACTCACTGATTCACCGGTCCCTACTCACTATCGAGGGAGTTCAGAGGACTATATACTGAGCTCATCGGCAAAATGAAAAAAACTCTTTCACACACTGCACGGTAATTTCAGCCGCAACGTTTTTCTGTTTATTAGCGTGAGCACAACACATGATGGTATTGCTTGGTTAGTGACCATCGGTTAAACACTAATTTTCAGGATGCACTGTGGGATGCTATGAGTCCACTATATAGGGTATAATAATTTACACTATACATTCGGACAGCACAACAAAAATGGCGAACTCCCTATATAGTCAACTATATAGTTGTGAGTGATTTCGGACACAGTCCATGAGTGCTGATGTAGAGTCATTAGCACTGGGACTTTTAACTACATGTATCACTCCGCTTCACAGGTGTTCTTTTAACCTTTAATCAGCGTTACATTAACAGTCGTCATCTATCTTAGATTATAACAAACCGTGCATTTCAAAGATGAATATATTCACAGAAATAACATTTGAATTAAATTATGTATGGTAGTCAGAAGAGGATGAAGGGAAGGAAAGAAGCCTGGATACTTCAGTGCACACTCACCTGACGACAGTGGTGTAACAGTTTGCAGAGCTATTTGTGTTGCCATAGCCAAATAAATGATTAAATACACAAATAACAATCTTAACTAATACGGCGCTCGTATAACTGTTGCACAGTCAAGCAATATCAATATTTTATATATATCTTAAATGACACACTCCAATGACAATGCAGAATCGTGTTTACCTGTCTCAGTGTTGTTAACGTTTCCTGGCTCATAGTTTGGACTGTTGTTTGGAAGCACAGGTGAGACGCGGCAACTTGGATCTTAAAGGAGTCGTAGCATTTATTTACTGCCAAACCGTTTAAAGTGCAAATACATTGCACTGTACGTTCACTGCTATACTGCTAACTGTTAACTAACTTGCTAACTCCCTGCGTCCCCGCTCGCTCTCTCTCTCTCTCTTTTGCCCACTACGCACAAAACCTACGTACTGAGCTAATCCTGAAATGAGCTACACTATTCCTGTAACAATATTCTGTCTTAAAATTCTCAAACTTACTACAGACCTTGGAAAGAGATGATAAATCAGTGACATTTGCTCGTTTGCTTGCTAATGCTGCCTCCTTACACCTAGTGCGCATGTTTTGTTTCGCACAATGTTGCGCATGCGTATAATGCATGCAATATCATAACTCATCTGAGAACGGTAGAAGCTGAGCTGCTAGCTATTGCTAATGACCCATCAAAGACCCCAGGACTGCAAGCTTCAGCCTTTCACTTGTTTTTTAGTGGGTAACTCTCAAGGAATGGATGTAAATCAGTACAGTGTGCTCTGAAATTACAAAAACAAGCATAAGAGAGATGGGTGGGTTCAGGTCTAGGTGGAAGGTCACAAATGCTTTTGGATTACTTAAAGTTTGAATGCATAATGTTAACTGAAATGTTCTCTTTACCATTCATAACCTAGATAACTGTTTCTGGAAAGACAAGATGCTGCAGGGTTTTCCAAATGTAGTCTGAAATATCTTGAAAGTTCCATACCTCTGTTGTACTAGAGTACATCTCTAATTCATTATGGGTTTTGCAACGTGATGTTCTATCATACAAAATATTTTCAGTGATGATGTATGAATACAAAATGTGCAGATACAGCAACAATTAGCTATTCCCATAATGGTGGAGCATAAACTGGTGCAACATGCCAGCTGGCACACTGAGGCTCAACTACATGCTGCATGTTAACTGCACAACAGGGATTCATGTGCTGAAAAACTGTGCATTTAAACAACAGGCCCCTGCCAATTAGGTTAAAAACATTCAAAATATTTGTTGTATACTCCAGAGTTAAGTAGTGGAGTTCTGCTGCTATTAGGCTTATCACTTGATTTGATAAATTTCTATCTTTAGAGCAGGTGTGTCTCTGACCTTCGTGTGTGGATTGTTAAACCTTTAGAAAAGAAAATTCAGGATTTTTTTTTAAATCCCTTTTATTTAGAACTTCATAAAAACTAAACAGATGAAGCACTATGAGGTTTAGAGTTACAGAAAACTGTGGAAAACAACATTAAATACACTCAGGATAACTCAAATGGAAACAGAGAATGTACAACAGAGAAATTCTTACCCGCTGACACATAAACTACACCTACTCTATCACACTTCTATACATAACACTCTTTTCTACAAACATACATACACAAAGTATTTAATCCACATGTTCTAAGTTGCTTGGCCCTCTTTAATTGTTCCCCCTTTATAAAAACAGACCAAAATTAGGAAACCTTCAGATTGTGTGGGAAAATAAGATTCATTATGTAAAAGCTGCAATATGTGCCAATTGATTCAATTATTTTGTAATGAAGTAATGAATGGTAGAAGGCTGTGGTCCATGAAGTCCAGAAAACTTTACTGAGTTAGCCCCATTTTTCGTTATAATAAAGTAGAAGTTGTTGGTTCTGTCGGTATGTTATATCTGGAATCTATTTGTACTGGCTCATGACGCTCTTGAGGAAGTCTTCAAAGCGTGGGACCGCCTCCTTGGCGGGCTCATCGGCAGCTTTCTCCTCAGCAGTGGCGGTCTCCTCAGCAGCAGCAGGCTCCGCGCGACGAAGGCGGCAGTTGTAGTCGTACTCTGGGTCACAGTCAGGGTCAGGCAGGATTATGCCATCCTTGCCGGGCTTCGGGGCCTCAATGCTGGACGGTGATGCAAATTTGTTGCAGTTGGGGTCAAATGGATGGCAGGCGGGCTTGGCTGGAGCCTTGATGTCAGCCTTGGCCTCGGTGCCAGACTTCACTGGGGTGCAGTCTTTGTCATAGTGCACATAGCAGTCGTAGCCCTCCTTGGTCTTGCCGCGGATGCCGAGCTTGTAGCGGACCTGGTTGATTGATCGATTGATTTGTGTTTTTGGTTCAAAACAAAAGCAGATTGAAGATAGCAAGTGAAAGCATTATGAAACACCCATTTCATTTCACTACATCATTTAATAAACCGAATAAAAAAGAAGAGACAATTAACAGAACCATTCAACAAGCAAGATTACACTAGGTTAGTCAAAACACTGAACTATTTAATCCTAGTAGCAGGCGTCAAATTCAGACCTGGTGCTCGGGGAGCTGCTTGCGCAGGGCGGCGGCGGCTGCCAGTATGCAGTATGGGTCATAGCGAGGATCGCAGGACAGAGGAGCAGCTGGAGGTGCAGGCTCAGCTTTGGGGGCGTACTCCAGGACGGGCTTGGTGAGACCGGACAGCTTGGTGGCAGTCAGGGGGTTGCAGCCAGCGTCAAACAGAGGGTTGCAGTGTTGCTCCTTAGGAGGCTCCTCATCAGAGAGGGGAGCAGGAGCAGCAACATTGGTCACACACAGAGGATCAACTGCGGGGTCACAGCTAGGGTAGAGCAGGTGGTAGAAGCCGGTTGGGGCCTTCTGGACCAGATGGGGCTTGCAGTAGGGGTCCTTGGGGTCACATTTGAGGGCAGAATAGGATGGGGCTGGGCCAGGAGCTGGGCGGTAGCCATAAGCTGCTCTCAGGTGATACTGCAGACACTCCACATCTTCAGAGTTGCAGATCCTCAGCAGCTCAGCCTTCTGTTCAGCACTCAGGAAGGGCTCCAGGACGGGGGCATAGTAGTAGAAGCCAGTGGGGCCCTTCAGGGGCATGGGCAGCAGGGGGGTGAGGATGGGAGCTGGTACCTTGGCTGGAGCTGGCTCGGGCTCTTGGGCTGCAGCCTTGGGGAGGACGGGGAAGAGGCAGTATGGGTCGATGTAGGGGTTGCACAGCCTGACGGCAGCAGACTTGATGGGGGCGGGCATCACCACTGCAGCCTTTGGCTTGCTGGTGGACTCTGCGATGCACTCGGGATCATCAGAATCAGCACAGGTCTTGTAGATTTCACTGAGGTGCTTGAGGTAGTGGTTGAAGGTGGGCCCCTCCTCTGACCTGTGCTTGTTCTGCAGGTAGGCCATGTACAGACGATCCAGATCCTCAATCTGAAGAGCAGGATGAAAAAGAGACAAAATGAATAAATCCTATCTGATCTAAAATGATTCACATGCCACAGAGAATAAAACAGCGAAGAAATCTAAAACTAAAAGAATTCAAATGAAGCTCTTGATATAGATGAAAACTTTCAGACAAATCCTCTGTGGAGGAATGCATGTACTTTTTCAGCTCGCTGTCTTGTTACTCAAACCATACAGCCTGACTCTTAAACCACAGAGGTCTCACTGGCACTACGAAGACAGGCTGGAACATGAGCTGCATTAAAAAGAATCTCAGCATTTTAAGAGGATAATGGAATATTAATATGTTTATATAATAGTATATAATAATAGTCTGAGCAATAAAGAATTATTGCTATGAAAAATGAGGAATGTTTTAAATCTATATCAAATAGCTCTTTAAATTGTCCTATTTTCCATTTTGCAAAGTAGTGATGTAAATTGTTGCGTCAATTTTAAAAGAAGAAACTGTTTCGTAATCCTGACGGGGAGAAGCTGAATAATTAATGTGAAACAAACTCCACTCACTCCCTCCTGGTTGTGGCTATCCATGAAGTACTTGTACCATCCCCAGAAATCTGGCAGGCGTTTGAACTGGGGCACAGGAAAGAAGGGGACGTTCCTTCTGTTACGAACAAGTTTATTCAGGTTGGCCATGGCCTCGGCTTTCACATCACCAGACACTGCAGTCACTGATGGGAGAAAAGAGGGACAAAGGTGACTAAGTTAACGGTGCTGGTATGAGTGTGTATGGAAGATGTCTGAAAAAAATGTACTGTTGTGTCCTCACAGTGATCTTAGTTCACTATTTATAGGCACAGACAAGAGCGTGTTATTGACTTTCTTGCCTACTGATGAACAGGGGTTTGGCTTAGCTTGGCATAAACACCGGAAACAGGAGAAACAGCTAGCCTCTCTCTGTCCGGAGTCCTCTAAAGCTTACTGATTTATATATTACATCTTTTTGTTTGATATGTACAAAAAAGAAAGTGTAAAAAGCTTAATTTGCCATTTTATGGGAGGTTATGCTGTAATAGCTTATGGCTGTTTACCCCTATTTTCACTCTTTGTGTTTAGTTATGCTAACCAGCTGCTGGCTGTAGCTTTATATTTACCATTCAGCCACAAGGGTGGTATCAGTCTTATCATCTAAAGCAAACACGTATTTGCGTTTTGTTTGTAGGTGTATTTAAAAAGGCTTTCTAGCCGTTTTTGTTCTGTTGTCTTTGTAACTGGATGAGTTTTGTTTGTGGATAAGATATACAAGATATTCTTTGGTATTTGACTGAAGTAGATGGACGACATCATGTTGTTTGGTGCTGCTGTTATTTTATCAAATTAGAAATTATATAAAGCAGCCCAGTGCGACAACATAATTTCAATTTCAGGAGAGCTAAACTGACTCTAAGATACTACCAACAAGAACTGAAAACTAGAACATACACCAATGTATTTCTGACAGGGGTTTTTGGATGAGACTAGGGTGGCAAAAAAATAAGTCCTCCAACCTGAACAACCATTTAGGTTGTTTGTCCTTACCCTCTGATACTGTAGGAGCATCACATGTAATAGGCCACACCTTTGTCATCATGGTTATGATAAACACGCAGATAAGGTTGTGGAACAGTCTTGGTTAGAAAAACATTGACTATCGGTTTCAGATCTCCTCTGTCAAAGCCCTGTGTTTTGTCAACCCATCCATCCACCCCAGCCTCCACTGTCTGTCAATATGCTACATCACTTAATCTCTTCCTTTGTTCCCATCATAATTGCTACAGCCACAATAGGTCACCTAACAATAAAACGTAACTGTGGGTCATAATAAGCTGCTTGCACTGACAACCTATGGAAAGGTTGGCCCCACTGCAGCTAATGGTTACTATCGGTTAATCTGCAGAATACTTTCTATTAGATCAATCAGTTAATTGTTTGGTCTTTTGAATATCAGTGTAAAGTTTATAGTAAAAATGTCCAGTTCCCAGATGCCAAAAATTGTCGTTTAAAATGCTTTTCTTTAGTTTAGTATCATTTAAGTCAAATAAAAGTAGGACATCTTTGAGGCATTTGAGAAACTGGAACCACTAAACTCTGTTGTTTTTCTATGTAAAATTACTCACACAATTCGATTAATCAAATGTTGTCAATATTCTGTCAGTAATTTATTTCAGCTTTTCACCAGACTGTAAGGGTGTGTTATTGTGACCACCACCTGTAAACATGAAATTAATGTGGTGCTTATTGGCTGAACACACAAAAGTTGGATGATTCAGTTTCACAGCACATATCTTCTTTTAAATGTCCATGATTTAAATGACTAAAAAGCCAGTGTGTCTTACATGCCACATCAATGATCCTTACCTTCCTCCTCTTTGTGCTGCTCCACTGGAACCGCCCCCAGAAACTCTGTAAAACATAAGCAGCAGCCACATTAGCAGCAGCAGGGATATTAGTTGACTAGGACCAGATGTTGAGCTTTCCCTCAACATCAGGGAAAACGCTGACCTGCTAATAAGCCCCTGGGTGAAACACGGCAGGTGCTGGGGTTCTGGCGCCCCGGTACAGGCTGTATCCTGCAGATTAAACACCCCCAACCCACTCCTCCTCCTCCTCCAGACCCCCGCCCAGACCCATACACGCTCAGTTAGGCTTTGAAACCAGACCGGGGGGGGAGTTTATACAACTTATGGGGGCCTCCTTAATGTTAACCTGTAAAACTACAAAGAGTGGGCCCTCACACAAACCAATTACCAATTCACTGTTACAGCAGAAGATGGGAAGGAGGGGACATGTCTGTGTGCATCTCATGTATCCACATACGGAGTATCCTTTGCTCCACCAGGGGTTTCCTTCAGAAGTTTATGACTATGAGAAAACAGCCGAGTCAGCTGATTATGGCAGAAACTTCCAGTTTTATTAATGTGGAAAATCTCCCAAAGGAGCAAGGATGAATGTCTTTTATGCCTCTAGAAAGATTTTGTAGTATGTAAAGGATGCCTTGCCATCAACAAGACATGCTACTTTACTGTTAAGGAGATGAGAGTAATGGTGACTTTATACCTCTGTGCCATAGATTAATGTGCCAGTGCCCAGGGCTGTAACAAGGATTTTAGAAATAAAGGTCATTAATCCAAATTCCTCTTATACATCCCTCATAATAGACTTTGACAAAAAACCAGGGCAAGAAGAAGTACTCAGCACTTTTACTTCAGTAAAAGTAGCAACACAGTGATATAAAAATGCTAAATTACAAGTAAGGACTCTTTTCAAAATCCAATTTAAAGTAGAATAGTGTTATCAGCAAAATGTACTTAAATTATCAAAAGTAAAAGTATTTCTTATGCAGACAAACAGCCCATGTGATTGTGAAGTTGTTACATATTTACTCTCTTTATATTTGTATATATCGTCACTGATTCATTAATGTGTAAGTAGCATTTTACAGTTGTACTTGGACAAAGTGGAGTTTATTAAACTACATTGTAGAGTGTAAAAAGTACAATATTTTTCCTCTGAATTGTAATGGAGTCGGAGAAGAAAGTCACATAAGTAAGGTACAAGTAACTCAAAATCGTTTGCTTCCCATCTGTTTGCCAACTAGTAGGCTATTTGGTTGTGACAAAGGTCAGTTAAAGTCACATATATTTTAAATTGGTAATAATAATTTGTAATCAAAGTCTCACCTGGTAACAAAACAATCGCTAACAGGAACCCTGTGTGGATCAGGGAAAGCGATGGCCGTCCAAAACGTGCCATTTTCAGTTTTATGTGCTTCCTGAGGGAAAAGACAGAAACAATATTCAGTGATAACGCTGGAACAGAAATGTATTTGCAGGATAAACTTCTGGCTGTAACATTACAATGACACGACACTTGGATTGATCCTTGTATCGTTTTAGTTTTTGTTTAAGTTTTTCAGCAATCTGTTTGATATAGAAATCCATGAGAGGACAATGCACGTGGAACAAAGAGACAGCTTTTATTTAACTGGCCGATGCCAAAACAATAGAGAGGATTGGGGACATGCTGTAATAGAGCTTTTCAGGGATTAGTGAGAAAAACAAGACTTCAGTTCTGAATATCAGAATATTAAATAGAGAAGGACTGGACTTAACAATCAAACAATGTACATGTACTTCTCTATTACTGCACGGGTGGATATTGAGTTACAGCTGCTGTGCTCAAAAAGAGAGCTTGTCTCCTATAGTTTCACTCAGGCTTACAAAACTGAGGACTTTCTCACTTTTCATCCAATAAAGGTGAAGTTGCAAGGCAGTTGCTGTGGCTCTATTAACTGAAAATAGGTCAACTTTAGCCCAAGAAGAACTCACATCTGTCCTTACCTGCAAAGGTGCTGAAGTTGTGGCCTCCTGAGATCACCTCCGGATCCAGCGGCTCTCTGGATCAAGCTTCTTGACGGGGGGTGGGAGCTTGCTGCGCTGTGGTCTAAGCTGTCTAAGCACTCTACCTCTCAGTTCCCCTGTATGGGACAGACGGGCAGGGAAACATTTTTAAGGAGCCCACTTGATCATTAAAAACAAAAAGGCATGTCATACGGCTCCGGCGTGCTGTTAGGCGCTCCAGGATTGGCTCCTGCACTGCCATCCGTCCAACCAATAGGGGTCCTGTAATTAGGAGAGGTGAGCAGCACGACTGCTCTCAGTGGAGAAACATTAACAAGGTGCCATTTAGCGCCAGGTTTCTTTCCTCGCAGGTTTGGAATTTGGGGTCATCATGTGAGGTGACAGTGTATCTAAGCTACTAGTTGATCTTCAGATTTGAAATTTACATAAATGGCTGAGTAGGTGCGGATTTAAAAACTGAAAGCTATTAAATCCACACGGTTGCAGATCTATGTTACAGGAGCACAGATTTATAAAGAAGTGTCTGCGGCTAGTGGAAACAGTAGAGCAAGAGGTAGTCCTGATATTCATGGTACTGTCCTGATGATACACAACAAAACAGCATGCATGAACAGAATCTAATGACAAATAGGAAATAACAACAACTTCCTCTACTGGAGATAAATTAAAATAATCAGTCTTTTGTCTTTTTATTCCAGTGCTTCATCTCCATAAGATGAAACTGACTGGCAAGGAATAAAAACTACCCCTGAAATAATAACTGTGTTGCATCAGTATATTGACAAATATGTGAGCAACATTGTCCTGGATGACAGGAACGTGACTAGTTTCATTTCACTGATGCAACACTATCCAAGCAGCAGTTGCACCAGCCTGTTGGATAACGTTTCTAAACTTGTTGTCAGCCGTAATGTCAGAAGTCTGCAACCAGCTGCTCTTTCACTTTGTTGTTTATATATTTTTATATATTCTGAAAAACCTTTTTACTGAACGTGTGATGATTCTGCAGCTTACTCAGATCGGTGAATCCACAGATTGTTAAAATCTCTCAGACTGATATATTTATTGAATAATTTCAAAAAATACACAAGTAATAAAATAACCTTCTAAACACATCTTTCTCGTGAATGTCTTTATTCAGCGACATGGAGGCTGGAGCTGGAGTCATTAGAAGAACTAGGCCTCATACAGTGGGTCACTAATGAAGCAAACTGCTGCTGCTGTAGAAGCCAGAGCCATTAGGACCAGCATGCCAACAACGCTGTTTGTTTGGTCCTGATGCTCGGATTGTGCCACGTAGCCTGTACAGCCTACAGCCTGCGTCAGTGGAATATACAGAACATGTGTAAATAGGAGCTATGGAAACCAGGAACATTAGCTGACTGCATGTATGTACATACAGCCCTGTCAGATGAACCCTGTTATCCCTTAATGACACAAACCTTTATGTTCCAAATGCATTCATTTGAATTGATTTTAAACTGGAGGTTATTTACAATATTTATTATGTTTGCTTTTGTACTACTCGTGGCAAAAGCTGGATGTGTCAACAATTTATCAATAAACTGTAGCTAAATATTTCAACTGATTATCCATTACTTGTTTGGACTTCTACTCGTTAACTCATTAACACTCTGCAACCTGAGGTTTTACAGCCTACTCAATATCTGGATTTTTTTAAATTTTTTTTTTTATTGAATCATAATTTTTTTTAATGAGTTGAGGTCCTTCACAATCTTTCCATGTATCTCCTGGTACCTGCGGAAGCGCCTCTGGGGTACAAGTATGCTGGCTGGGAATCACTTATGTAGTATGGGAGAGCTTCGGTTATAGATGTCAATATTGTCTGGATTAAAATTAAAAATGAAACAAAATCTAGTTATTCTGCCTGAAGCATCGTCTGCTACTCAGTTCCCAAATGCTGCTTCTCTACGCTCATACTGTTTGTCCCCTCGGACCGTGCCTCCCTTGCATGACTGATGATGACTCAGCCCGGGCTATGATCCCTGCAATTTACTCATTTAAGAATAACTGATGCAGTCACATAAGGAGGCAAAATGCTGTCTTCTTCAGTTTAAAGCTGAGCAGCCATCAGGAGAGATGGCTGTCTCCTTTGTTGCATGGAAAATTCACAGCAACATAACAGATATTTGGGGTAAGAAAACCTCATTAAGCGTCTCGTGCTACTACTGAAAGAAAAGCTCATTAAAAACACAGACCCTTGTTAAATGATGGTGCCTGTCAAATGGTTTTATGTAAAAGTTTTAGTTGTGGTTCAAGTTACAAGTCATACAAATAATTCAACAGAAAGTTATAAAACCATTAATAATTAAAAGCTGCGGGAAAGTGGAAAAGTTTGATTGAATTAACAAACAAACAACTTACAAATTTAATTTATTACCACTTACAATGTAAGAAAAAAAGGCAAAATAATACATTTCCAATATATTTTCTAGCTCAGAGCTATCAGGGTTTACATCAAATAAAGTTAATGTACACAGTTTCAAAATCTCAGACATTTAGTGAAATGTTTATGTTCATGTTCATGTTGCAGTTTCTATAGAGAATAACAGATCATGTTTCTTTGTTCTGGCATCCTCAGTCACTCTAGTAGCGTGGCTCTATGCATGGTGATGTTGTTTGGTCCAGCCTTAAAATCTCACCAACTACCAGATAGATTTCCATGAAATGTTGTACAGACATTCATGGACCCCTTATGATTAACCCTACTCACTTTGGCGATCCTCTGACTTTTCCTTTAGCACCACCAGCAGGTTTGACATTTGTGGCCTAGAAAACTATTGGATGAATTTCTGTGAAATTTTGCACAGGTTGTCATGGTCCCCAGATGATTAACACTACTCACCTAAGATGGTCCCGTGACTTTTCAGTGCCATCATCAGAGAAAGATTTTTCCGGCACTTTGGTTTATGAACAAATATCTGCAAAGCTAATGACATTTCCATCATCTTCAGCTGTACTTCATGTTTAGTGCTAATTAGCAAAAGTTAGCAGGCCAACGCAGTGCATCAAGATGGTGAGCGATGTGATCAATATGCTAAACTTCAGCATGTGAGCATTGTGAACATGTTAGCATGCAAAGTTAGCATCTAGCTCAAAGCACTGCTGTTCCTAAATACAGCCTAGCTGTAAACTCCTAGTCTTGTAAATGAAATATAAATGATAGCCTGTTCTTGTCTAATCTGTCCTGCACACCCAGAATTTGTTGAAGCATTTCACAGTTGGGATTTAATTCTGCAGAAAGAATTATTTCTGTGCCTTTACAGATTTAAAAGTTATATTGCGCCTTTTAGAGGCTAATCATGACTTTTTAATAGTTGATTATTTCCTGCGATTACAGACACCTCTGTTTATTGGCCCTGATCCTTGAGCCTGTGCTTCATGTTGTAAACCCGATCATAAAGGACTGTGTACTGCCGGTTACACTATCAAGAGTTTTTTGTTTGTTGTTTTTATGTGTGTGTGTGTGCGTGTGTGTGTGTGTGTGTGTGTGTGTGTGTGTTGTGTCATTAATACTATTGTCTTGTAAATAACTGTTGGACATGTCTGTGCTGACAGCACAGTTCTCTGTTTTGCTGAATCTGTACAGCAAGCTTTTAAAAACCTGCAGTTAGCATTTTGTGCTCTTCAGAGGCTTATCAGTCCACAACTTGTGCTGAATAGTAATAAAACCTCAATATCCTCTCGCTCAAAACTGTAAATATTATTGACCTTCAGATCAGCTCTCTCATTGGCACTGATACCGAGGGAGTCTCTCATTATGCAGTAAATACTTGATCATATCTACCTTACTGACAAACTGAGGATGAAAAATAACATGTTGCAAAGCATAAGCTAGATGTCTCTCTCACGTGTTCTGTAGACAACATTTCTGAAGCAGGCTTTTTACAAAGTGGTGATGTAATCTCCAGACAGACAGCAGTCTGTGTGCTGTCTAGCTCGGCTGATAGCTGCAGATGCCAACAGCACTCACAACATTTTACTGCAAAAACTCTGCAGGCTTTCTCATATATGAGGTAAGTATTGCTTTCTGTATAATGCTCTTCCCATATCTTATTTTGTGTATTGGCTGCACTTTATCACACTCAGTGGCGCCTGATGCTTTAGGCTCCTCAGATTAGCTTTCACATTCTGTACTTCACATTCCTGGAATAAACTGATATCCTGTAGTTTAAAGATTTGGCTGTAATGGAACAATTTAATAGTCTTATAGTTAACCCTATTATCGGCTCAGTAAAGAACTGGATAAATAAATATCACAATAAAAACAATTTTCCCATATGATGAAATAACAAATGTAGGCTAAAGTACATAGAAAATCTGAGGTAAAAAGTTCATTCTTAGACCAACACTTCCCTGGAGCTTTCAATTAAGGCCACAG